CGCTAAATTTTGATGTAAACCCAATCGATAAAGAAGATTTCTTCTGCCAGTAGTGGAAATTAGAGTTTAGTTTTCATTGCAGCCGCTGAGATAAGTGACAAATAGCATTCTGCAGATGTATATGGCAGTTTCCAATCTATAACCTCTGTGATCTGTGCTCACCAGTCAAAATACCTATCTTAGATAGATGTAAAGTTTCTTCGGTAAGACATTTTAATTTTCTTCAAATAACTGTGAAATTTTGCGGAGTTAGAGTTTATATCATATCTAGAGCAATTAACACGTAATAAACTTGGTTTTAACTCTCACATAGGTTTGATTGCATTTGCAAATATATTTTTTGTATTATGTTTCTAGGTTGGGACGTTTTGGACAAGCCTAGTAATAATGTCTTCGAACACTAGTCCCTCACACTATACGGAAGACGCTTTTGTAACAGATGCAGACTTTAAAGTTGAAATTAACCAAAAAATGAAGGTACCACAAAAAATAAGTTTTAATGACCGTAATGGCGACATTAGAAACTCCTGGATACGAGACGACTTTAATATGCAAGTGCCTGAGCGGATATTGGTGATGGGGCAAGATCAACATGTTGGTAAGGTTTTCATGATAATAAAATAAAAAATCGGTAATCCAATCTGCACCTATAGCGGAAAATTAATCCGAGAAGTATTATAGGTATTATTTGATAGCACATTTGTCATGTTATAAATCAAAGTCGAATTGATAGTAAATGAACTTGTCTACTGAAATCATAATTTGCCAAATGTCTTGTAATTGCTACCGAGTCATAACACAATTTGCAAGATTGGCTGCTGAAGGTGCTTGCTTTGCCAACTATATAATTATTTTTATCAGAAGCGTTAATTTTAAGGTACACGAGCGCCTCCAAGGGAAATCGTTTTTGATAATTCTTTGCTGGCCTCAGGTGAGCAGTATGACACCACTTTGCCTAGAGTTGCCACACCCCCTAGAACTCTTACACTGGACAAATATCCTTATCCAGGTGTGCAATTTTACATGATAACTGCTACGGACACAACAGTAAATGTTGTGTCTATAGGTAGTTATATGTAACACTCAGATTGACTAGCGCAATCGGCATTTTACAGATTGCCTAAAATACTCCATTCAATTTGTATATTACTGAAAGTAGTACGTAGTCATTCTACACAGTGCCTGGCGAGTTGGTCAGTTTGCAGAATGTCGGATTTCGTACATTGTCGGTCACATACATGAGCTGTTACGAACGTTTGAGCATGATTTGGACCGCTTTTTTGGCGCAGTATGGTATCAACACTGTAAAATGATTTTAGGCATTGAAGAGGGCAAATGTGACCCGGATATTGATGACCATTTGCCTGTAGTTCGTCCGAAAGCAAAGGTGCAACTCAACTTAAATGAAAGCGTATACTCAATGACCAATTCTTACAAGGAAGCGACTCCCCCACTAGGTAATTGCGAAGGTCTTGTTATAAGCCTTCCTCAATATTGTTAACTAACATTTTTAGGCGGAGGCGGCGAATCCCTAACTCCAGCAGAAGAAGTCGTCCACCTACGAAGACAATTGGCCAAACTCAATCGCCGTGTCATGACTCTGGAACTAGAAACTATCAACAGACTTCAGAAAGAAAAAATCGTAGTGGGTTTTGGAATCGCATACTTTCTTCTTAAAGTAATTATATGGATGAACAGAGACTAGGCGATCCGAATAGTATTTTCGGTACAATTAAAACGACTGTTAGTAATAATAACCAGCATTTTTGTGCCTGCAAAAAGTCTGCAACTTTGTAAGCAGAAAGATGCTCATATTGTTTAGGTTAAAAGGATTGTCTTGTGTTTTTAGAAGCCCGATTGAGGCATAAACAATATTTGATAAATAAGTTGAATTGACCAGGATCATAAGTAATATTGTATTTAACTTGTACTGTTTATGAACTTGAATTAATAAACATTGTTAAATCATATACAACGTTAGACTAGATGTTTATGTCTGACAAAACATTACCTATGGAAGTAAGTGTCCTTTTATTTTATATTTTATTTAAAAACAACGACCACTAATATTTAACTATTACTATTATATTAGTAATTCTTGTTTAGAAACAATTAACGGAAAATGTAACCCTTGCTAGAATAAATTTACGGCGGTCAATGCGCAGCAGAATTGCACCGCGATTTTCCAATCGGCCACTTCTAAGTATTAACTTGTGGACCAAATGAATGATTGACGAATGGGTGTGAGCGAAATTTTTCCAAGGGAGGCGGTCGATTTTCTGAAAAAAATAAAAATTTTCTCAAAATGTCTTAAATTTTACGATATTTTCAGCTCACGTACTCGAAGAATGCATCGAACTGATTAAAAAACATGGGCAAAATCAAAAACACCTTGGTCACCCTGTAGAATGCTCTTGTTTTCCAATACAGCGAGTCTCAATTTGAAAACTTCCCACTCTTAATATCCTGCCAACGATTTAAGACGCACAAATCGTCAACATTTCCTTTACAATCGCTAATTTTCTAGTTTGGTCACATTTTCGGGTACTTCAATCTTTGAGTGCATATAAAGATATTTGAACCTTGTGAGTTTGATAATGTTGGTGTATTCGAGTATTCGAACTTTCGAGTTATGACTAGACATAATTCGAATATTCAAAAGAGAATAATTATGTCTAGTCATAACTCGAAAATTCAAATACTCGAATACACCAACATTATCAAACTCACAAGGTGCAAATATCTTTATATGCACCTTGTATACTTTTATAAAATAAGTTATTCATATTCTACAAGCATTTAAACAAATAGTTATATATTTAGAAGCAAATGAAAATAATTATTTACCCTCCAGCAAATGAATATAAAATTACGTGTTTGTGTTCTGGTGACTCGCGACATCAACTTTTGCGCGGTGTTACAATGAATGTGCTGACAAAGGCGCTTTTGCGGCTAATTGCCAAAAATATGAGATAACGATTTTGCTTCTTAGAAAACGGTTAACGGAAAATAAATACTCGAATTATTCGAGTTTGATTCCGAGCCCTAATACATACCCGTATTGGTAAATAGAAGTTTGTTTTGATTAACGTAACCTCAAACTGACTTGCGCATGTCATTTAAGCAAGGAGTCAGTTACGATATATGCGCTAGTGAGTATAAACTGCAATCAGTCTGTTCGCTTTGTTCATCGTGTGTTATGTGAGAGAGTAAACTGTATGAGTCTTAAAGTTGGTTATGCTGGCTCGCTTATTGTGTATTGAAACTGGAAAACTATTCAGAATCGTCTCAATCGGGAACTCTGAGCATATTAAAGAATCGTTCGATTTACGATTGTTTGGTAATGGCCGGTCACTCTTGAGTTTCGTATTTTCAGTTGTGGTGTGAATGAAAGTGGCGAAAATGCCTCGTGTGAAAGCATCCCCGAAAAAGTGCATCAAGAGCAATTTACAACAACCAGCAAGTTCTTGGGTGTTTTTACTGAAAGGTAACAATTTTCCCACAAGATGTTTTATTTTTAACCGTATGCCTTTTACCCCAGTTAATATTTTATACATTTGTCTTCTTTTTGATGCATCGCACTCACTAGCCAGAGCAGCCTCATTTCAAAATTGCTACAAAATAAAAATCCATTTGTTTACAGTTCATGAAGCAACAACATTTCTAATGTCAATAGTTTTAGTACGTGGTCCAACACCCGGAACCAAACAGGAATTTAATTTATTTCAAGTGGATTTCGGAAAAAATAAGTATCAAAAGTTGTAAATCAATAAGCAAAGGTATAATAAGAAATTTTATGATGAACAACTGATCAATATTATTTCAGGGAAGAATTGGCACCAAAATTTCATTTTGTCAGAGCCCATGCTTACATAACCTCCGATTTGCCTTTCGATTATTTTTACCTTTTTTCAATTAGCCAGTTTATAACGCGTCTCTATTTTAAGTGTAAAATTAGCTTTCTAAAAAATTCAAAAGTCGGTAGAGATTGTGTTTCTCAGCTGATAAGTTATCAGATTATCTCATAAAGTTATTGTATCTAGGATAATCTACAAACAATTGCAAATATACCCACCATTGGATATTCCAGTTAGAATTTTTTCCAGGTGAAGCTTTAGAATTATCTGAACAGTACACGGGCAGTGGAACACCGGACATTGTAACGCTTAGGCATCCTAATACAGGAGAATCGGCTGTTTTTCTATTTTCACCGGTCAACAACTCGGTACAGGAAGTTTTGACTCTAAATGAAGCGAAGCGCTCCTGGTTTATAGACGAGTCAGTGAAAAGCGATGGCAAATTGCAACTCTCTACGCCCATTGACCCAATATTTCTAGGTACTTAAACCATTCCAAATAGCTAATACATAAGGAATCTGAACATAATTTCTTATTCATAAAACCCATTTTTAGTTCTTCCTTATCTAAGAAAGTATTGCACGGCATATGCCCAACCCCTAGATCAACTTCTGAGAGACGATGAGTTTCCTGAAACTGAAAGACTGCTCAAATCCAGCGGCCTCAGTTATTTGACAATGATTGCAGACCGAAAGGTATGTTGAACTGGTTAAACTGAAATTATCGTCAAGCTCTAACTTACTAGGGTGACGATGAATTGAACGCGTTTAAATATAATGAAGAAAAAACGCTCAACTGGCTGAAAAAGAAAACCGAGCGAGTGGCCGACATTTTAAAGCAGAAAAATATTCATGTTACCGGTTCTGGAGCAGTTTCCAGTAACTTTGTCAAGCCTGCCAAGTCAGAATCTAACGATCAGGATGCCCATCTACGATACGCTCATGGTATTGTCTCAGAATACCTAATGGACGATCTCAGTCTGAAACTCCTAAAGTTTCTTGAACTTCCTGAAGAAACCTCACAACTGAACTTGAAAAGGAAAAGCAGTAGCAGCACAGGTAAGCTGATTTTCAGCTATAATTATTAAGCATATTCACTGAAATTGTAATTTTATCAGGTCAGGATGCAAAGAAACCGAAACTAGAAGATGAAAATAGAAGTTCAACCAGTAACGTTTTAGACCTAAGTAAGCCGGAAACGAAGCCTAAGCCTCCTACATTAACGACAAAAGATAAAGCCCGAGCTAAAGCGGCCAGTGGTAGTAAAAGCATCAGCTCCTTTTTCAAAAAGAGTTAATTACCCTAAAACCTACTTTACAAAGCACCGCAGTCCGGTGCACTCGAAATTCAATTTTATCTAGGTCAATTTTAGAGCGCTTTATAGGGGCCGTGTTCACTGTTTTTTTAAGACGGATGGCGAGAAAATTACTATTTCATTTGATGCACGTGCGTGTCAGAAGGGAATCTAGGAAAGACATTCATTTTATAGAATAATGTTAAATTGATCTCCTAAATGTTATCTACAAAATCAGCGAATATTGATATTGATGAAGTCTGCTTCTCTTCAAAACAGTTTTTATAGGCATTGATCAATTTGCATGAACATGTATGTACATGTATCTCATTACAATTGTTATTGGTTAGTTATGCAATTTGCCAGCTCTTACAACAAATCAATACGATACTGGAATGCAGCTATCAGTCGATGATGCACTCTTGTGTTACCCCCCATACAAGTTGAAACACTAAGACATTTTAATTTATTTATTTTTTAAGCAGCTTTCAAATTCTTTAAGACAATTTCAATATGTGCGAGGGGCAACTGTTTTAATTTTACAAATTAGTATTATCCTTTTTTTATTGCTGCTCTTTTGTGGTCATAAATGTGGAAAAACATACATGCGTTTTCTTGATCGATTCAACCAAACATTAGACATTTTAAGACAAGACGGTTTTAACACCCTTAAAGGCTCTAAAAAAATGACACAAATAATCATTTTATGAAAAATTCAATTTATTTAGAAGGCAATTTAAATATCAAAAAAACACTGACGTCATGTAACTGGTTGATCGGGAAATTGTTCAGCAACAATCTACGACGTCGTTTTACAATAAAAAAGAAATCTTTTGTAATAAATTAAGACAATATTATTTGTAATAAATAGCCTAGTATTATACATATACATGGATCGAAGCTGTAAAGACTTCTTCAATAACTGCTTAACAATCTGAGTTAACAAAAATCAGTCATAATAAAATTTGAAAAGAAGAAATGACGAAAATACGTAGTTGATAATTAAAGACGTGAAATATCTTAAACTTACGTGTTTGTTCATAGCAATGTGAAAGGTACAGGACAGCGATATATATCCATCCAAGAAATCATTGAAATTGAAAAAAATTATGTTTCGAGCATTCTAATATTTCATAAACCAGCATTATACAGGGTACCAGAAAAAATAAAATCACTTTTTAACGTAAACTGCGTAAATTTTACTCACAAATAGAGAATGTTTCGGTACCGCAAAGGACAAAAACAAATTCGTCTCATGAATTCAGTGTTTACCAATAGTTTATAAATAATTAGCAAATAGCTGAAACATCGGCTTGGGCTGAAATACGTTCAAAATACCCTGCTAACTATCAAATAGTATTTACTTCAGAATTATCCACATTTTCAAAATAAATGTTTAACAGTACTTGTAGTTAAACAAATTAAAAGCAAACCTAATTTTAGGCTTTTACTAGACTTTGCAGCATCTTCATAAAACGAAAAAATGTACTATTTAAATAAAACTATTTTCACATTTACATATTCTACTATACAAAAATAAATATCTTCTCTTATCTGTATATGTCCGAGTATGTACGTACCTGAAAGGTAAAATTAAGGAACAAGCAAAATGTATGGGGGATGGGTTTCAGTACGCAGCTATACATTGTTCCTACTAACACTTGATGTACTTGACTCCAAATACTTCTAAACCATAACCTTCATCAAATCTGCCTGACTGTTGGCGCCAACACTTGATTCCTCAAGCGAGTCCAAATCTAAGGCACTCTCGATCATTGTAGTATCTTGCAACAGCCTCAATCTACGTAAAAACCATGAGGTAAAGTCGAAGAAATCGTATGAAATATGCCTGTTTCAGCAGCAATT